CTATTTCATTGATCTCTAGACTTCACAAGAAGATCTAGAGATTGTCCACTTCAAATCTAGAGATGATTTGACAACCCATTATAAGGAGAGCTTTTGAGATTGTGGACACTATACGACAATCCTCCTGAATGCTCAAGATTCCGATATGCATCACCACTGCGATGTCGAAACTTTATTTTCCTACTTTCAAGTTAATTTTTACTTTATTTAGTGATAATTTATGTGATTAAAATTTATCAAATTATTCTTCATTAAATTATAATTCTTTCAGTTTTTACAAATCTTAATTTGATCAATTAAATTGTCTATAATCGCTTACATAAGAATCACTAGGTGAAACTCTGTTTCTCATTGTCGGGTGCTGACATCATTTTGATGTCTACACCCTTATTTCCCTTTTTTGTGAATTTTAAATATATTTTATTTTTATTTCTTAACATAAAATTTATAAAACATCATATTCTTTGAGAAAAATTTTGAAAAAAATACACAGCATTTTTATTTTATCTTTGCATATATTTTTCTCAAAAGTAAGGTTTATTTTACTAGATGGAATTGACTCAAAAAAATAAAGTTGTAAATTAATTTAATATTTTCCTATTAGATGAGTCCACTTACTTCCTAAGTCATTGAAAAATAAAACCTTCTGCATGAGTCAATTAACTTCTATTAGATTTTAGGTGGCACTTAGATAACAAACAAGCCACTCAATTGATTTCATTTTAATTATTGACTTGGGTAAGCTATTTCTACAATCTTCTATCTCCTTTCTCTAATCCTAATCCTATTACTTTCTTGGCTTAAAATCTAAAACATTCTAAGATTTTTGAACTAGTTCAGCTTTATGTTCATTCTCCAATGACACCCATGTCTTTGGGTTTCATTTAGACTAATTATCATCAAGTTTTGGGATGTAATCCAAATCAGCATCTTCATTTGGAAATAGTCTCTAGTGAAATCTTTCATTATATTAATTTGAGATGTGGGCTGACTTGTGATTAAATCTTAAATTTGATCACCCAAAGGAGCTTTATCTTATAATTACTTGCTGGCCTCTTAGAATCATGAATCTAAAAGAAATTTTTTAAGTGAAATTCTATGAAAGTTGAGAAGATAAATACTTTCTTCTTGATGTTATTGAGAACTATCACTTCATGGACTAAAATGGAGTGGAATATCCAAGACTAATAATAGAGGATAGGAGGCTCCAAAAAAATATGGCATTCCCTTTAGACATTTAAAAGGGTATTCTTGTAAGTCTCTTTAGAAATCAGAGTATAGAACTGGATTTATAGACCCCTAGTTAGGGCATTCGAATTAGACCTATCTTTTCTTTTTTTTCCCTTTTTTTGTGTGCTCTATTCTTGATTGACCTCTCCCCCTCTCTCCTCTCTTGCAAGAAGATTTCGTTGCCTCCTCTTGTAGGTATCACAAAGGAGATCATCTGGAGATAATATGTTCTCAAAGATACTTGAAGGAGTTTGGCTGCTCTTGACAGAACTTCAGAGGAAATCAAAGGTGATTTTTTTATGTTAGAACAGTAAGACAGGTCAAAGGCTACTTGGATCTCTGAAATTATGCTGATCAGGTGGAGAGGTATGGTCCAAAATATTATATTGATCGAATTCCAAAAACAAAGGAAATCAATATTTCATAACAAAGTTTATTTCTCATCTTCATATCAGTTTGTTATTGCTGGGTTTTCATAATCTGTCACTTGTATACATCAAAATTTACAAAAAAAGTTCCCCTTCTCATAGAAAAGTCAGTTGAATGTAGAAGGTACTGCCATTTTGATTTGGTAAAGGAAGATCTCATGAAGCTTTGAATTTGGTTCCTCAACTTGTTGACTTTCATTTGACTAATAAGGAAAACATTAAAATTTGAATAAAGTCCTCTTACAAAAAGTATCAACAAGATTCTTGAGATGGTCGGGGGGGTTTAGAGGTGATCATTCAAAACCTATTAATGGTTGGGAGGGCATAGATTCATTCTTCGTACCTGGTTCAGCCTCACAACCCTTTCGCGGGTTGGTAAGACGAAATTAGGTACCAACATATATATCTAAAGGTTATTAATTTGATTACAACCAGCAAAGTTTCATTATTGCTTAAATAGAATTGATAATACATTATGAAATAAAGTAATAATTTTCAAGACAAAACTTATTCAAATTACGTCAAATAAGTTATGACAATTAAGTAGATAAATTGAGTGATGATTTCAATGTATGAAATCGTAGCTAAGGTGATACAAGATGTTTAAAATTATTTACAAAGTCATATTTTTTAAATATCAGAAACATCTTAAGTGACATAATGTATACAAATTAAATGAATCAATTTAATACCAATAATAAACTTAATTAATTATTTATCATCATGAATATCTAATATATTGAGTTAACTTTCTTACTCATATTTTATCTCATGAACTGTTGTTGATTTGTAAGGCTAATGATTACTTTTTCATAGTGGGAATTTGCAAAAAGATTTACAGTTTTCATAGCAATCTACTAAGAATTAATTCAAGCAAAATCCACCAAATTCTAGAATTCAATATTAAGAGATTTACATATATTCCTTGAATTTCTATTTAGATGTTTTTCATTATTAACTTAAATTATTATTTAATATTTATAATATTTTGATTCATGCTTGTACATAAACAAATATTTATCCATAAAATAAGTTTCTAAGTAATAAGCATAATTGGAACTTTTAATTAATCCTATGGGTATTAGACATTTATTATCAAGGCATGACCAATGAAAATTTATGAGCCTAAATAGGTAAGTGATTTTGAAATTTTAATAATATAATATTATTAATAAAAAATAACTTTGCATGTATAATTCATCAAAGTCAAATCTTATCTTGAAATAGAAACATATACAATGAGGTATTCAATCTTGAAAATTCAAGATTTGTATAATGGTTATGAAAGTACTATGTCAATATTTTTAAAAACTCATCATAATTTGGTAGAGTCAGTTGCTATTTTTAATTTAAACATCAAAATTATAAGAGATCTGAAAGAATTTATTTTTTCTCAATGATCTTAACAAAAATTCATAATATTCAGCTTGAATACAAATCAACATTCCAATGGGCATAGCTTTTTCCAACAATCATACTCTTTCAAGTGTTCAAATGTACCTAACTAAAAGTGATTCATGGATTCCTAGTCATGGATAAAATTTAAAGTTCTCAACTCCTTTCTACTAGCATATGACTCTAATAAAATCAAATAAACATATGGTAAAAAAAATGTTCAATCAAATCTAGGCCTACGCTACTCCCCAAACCTCCACTATCTTTCTCCCTAATCTATTATAGCTTGTGATTTCTAATGTATCAATTAGATCATTCCATCTAGTTAGGTTTCTTAGGATAGCAAGTTTGTCTCATTGTTGAAGAGGCAATAATGGACTAAGAAACCTTTGCTGCTTAGACTAGAAATTTGCATCAAAGAAGCTTCACAAATGGTCACATTTTCTAAATACTTTTACACTCTTAGCTCTTACACTAGTCATTGTCAAGATTCTATTTTCATAGGACAAATTTCACAAGACCTTTTACTTGCTATTTTTTGAAGGTCTCATAGTCATAAACTCATAAATTCTCAAACCTTTTTTGGCTCTTTTGCTAGTGGTGTCACTTGAATTCAGTGGTCTTGACATTCATTTTTGGCCTTGCAAAGAAGAATATGTTTTCCACAAAAATATTACATTTATCAAAATGCTAATATTTTTCACCTATCGATTCTCAAAATATCTGCATTTTCTACTAGTGAATATGTTGCCACTTTTGTAATACATGTTAACACTCCTAAATGATTTTCCTATTCATAAAATTTATTAGAAATTGTTGACACATCCTCTAATAGGGAAATACTATTGGTTCACTCAAGAAAATAATGCTTTGTTATTTCCTATGTCAACATATGACACCACTTGAAAAAGAGCCAAAAAAAGGTGTTGAGATATTTGAGCACACAACAATGAGACCTATTATACTTGTGAATGTGTTTGCACTCTTGTTATACATGTTGGCACCTAATGATTTCCTAGTTCATCAAATTTATTGTAATTGTTAACAAACATCCTCTAATTTGAAAATACTATCAGCTGACTTCAATCAAGAAAAAATTAGTTTTGATATGTCAACACCACTTCCTAGTTTTTGAAGGTCTCATTGTTGTCAACTCATAAAATGCTTTTTGGACATGTTTTTTTTTGCTTTTTTGCAAGTAGTGTCACTTGAATTTAATACTGTTGGCATACTACAAGACATTCCAGCACCGAGCCTTATGTAACATGTATGTATTATTTTCCACTGCATTGATGCATTCTAAGTATATATTTTCTGCAAAAATATTACTTTTTTAAAAAATGTTAATACTTTTGACATATGGGTTCTCAGAATGTCATCATTTTTCTACTTGTAAATGAGTCAACATTTTAGTAATACATAGTTGTAGAATGAATCCCTAGTTCACTAAAATCTATTGTACTTGTAAACAGACATCCAATAATTTCAAAATAATAGTGGTTCACTCAGGAAAAGCATAGTTTTTTTTTTTTCGTATGAAAGAATGGTCATATCACTCAAAAGGAATGCAGACAAATGAGAATGCAGTAAGGGGCTTATCCCATTCAGACTTTGCTTGGCAAAAATGAATGTTTTTCTTGGCCAGGCTTGGGGACCGATTTTATCCAGGTCCAGCCCAAGCGCAGAGTAGCTAGTCTCTACCACCATGGCCTCAATCCGAGCCCATCTCATGCCAAAAAGAATTTCTTCTGATAGGCCATCACGGAAAATCTATCTTTTTGGGTCGAAATCACTGTGAGTAGTATATATTTCCAGATTGCTTGATGTCTGCCATCTCACGCCATAGATTTGAAGAAGGTTTTGCCTGCCCCCTCTAAAGGAAGCAGCTTTGCACCAACCTGCGCAGGGACGGGTTCTCGCCGTCCCGGTGAAATCGAGCCGAAGAGGATGGGTGGAGACGGGAGGAAGAGATCCCCCTCTCCTTCCCCTTCGCCGTCTCCTACTGGCGGGGTTTCTCCTCGGGAGGGGGAGAAGAGGAAGAGCGGAAAGAGCGGAAAGAGCAGGAGCCATAAGGCGGGCGAGGGGGGGAGTTCTGGCCGGAAAGAGGGGAAAAAGAGACGAAGGGAGGAGGATGAGGGCAAGAGACGGAGAGGATCGCCGGAATCCCACAGCAGGAGTCGCGATGATAGAGGTCCAGTTCTTCTTGTTTTCGTCCAGAGGTTTTGATTCGGCGGGTACGTGCCTTTCTAACTCATGTTTGATGGTATGTATGGAATGAACCAGAGGAGAAGAAGAGGAAGAAGAAGAAGAAGAAGAAACTGAAGGAAAAGGAGAAGCTCCAGGGCAACGGCGGCAGAAACTTAGATTCGGTGAGTTTCCCCATCTCTCCCGAAATGGACAATTACTTCTTTTTTCTTTCTTCTTTTGGGACCGATTCCCATCTACCCTTTGGAGTTTTGCCGCAAATGGTCTGGATTTAACTTCTTGGGCGCTCGAAAACATGGAGAATGTATGATGTCTGTGTATGCTGTCAGATCCTAGCCTCGAAATTGAAACAAAAACGGGAAGAACGCCACCTCTAGAGGTCTCTTCAACCTTTTATCCCTACGAAATAAATGGAAGTGGAAGAAGGTGATCGCATTGAGGGGTCCCATGAATACATACATACCCAGTACTTTGCTTCAGATTTCCATCCAAATTGGTGGACCCCACGAGAGTTTGCCATATCTTTTGTGGAGGGCGGTATGCTCTTCTTTCTTGGATACCAGGTCCAATTCTGAAGCAACGTTTCTAAAAACAGTGAGCTTTTTTGCAAGCAGGAGTTAGTGCTCCATTGGGTACCTTTCATGATAACCTCTTTGGAAATGCCAGATACTTGCTCAGACCTGTATCACCTCTCAGAGACTTGTATCCATATCCACTAACAAGGTGTCAAACCAGTATGACTGTGGTTTGTTGGACTGTGGTTTCTTACTTCGACGTTATTATGTGATCCCTGTTTGATTCTTCTTTTACTTACGAGCTTGAATCATTGACTAGGAAGGGAAATTCAAGGCTTTGTTAGGTTCTCATATTATCTCTGAGTCGTAACTCTTTCATTGGGAGGATCTGTGATAGCCAGCTAGTAGGATTCTATATCCTCACAGTGAAAAGTTAGACGAATGAATGTCAGAAGATGACCTCGTCAAGGAGATGATAATCTAAGATAATAGTATCAATTTTTGTATGTGTTGAAGCCCCTTTGTGTGTATGTAGGATGATGTCCATTTTCAAGATCCATCTGTGGGATGAATCCTATGGGAGACTTGTTAGCATGGTATTTTAACGATTAGACTAAAGTTCAAACTATGTCTTTGGGCTCATTTGATCATTAGGTTCAGGCCCGTTCTCGCCATATTTTTTCTCCAAAACTTTCTAATTCATTTGAAGCACTGCCTAACTTACCAAAACTCATGGGATTCTTGGAATTTTAGTTGCCATGGTAAGTTTTTCTCTAATGGATTGGAAATAGGGTTCATATCTTGTGTCTTTTCAAGTCTCATGAAAAGATATAAGATCACATGTTTTTAAAGAAATTCAGACAGTCAAATTCAATGAAAAAAATGCAGAAAATCGCACTGCTACAATCTGTTAAAAGTACACGCAAGGAAACAAGCAACATCATAATTTAGTGATTTTACCTTCTTTTCTAACTATTGCTATGGAAGATCAAGGGCAAAATACGACTAAGTCATCTCATTCTTTTTATACCATGTGTAGTTGGTTGGCCTCTTTTTATCAGTACATATTCTGGCTGGGCCAAATATGCCCGAGAGCATTACTATCTTCTCTGCAAGTCCAGCCATTCCCTCTCCCCAACGCTTAGTCTGGAGAGGTGTGGTACAAGAAGTAAGATACCCCAACATAATGATGACCCAAGAAGGCCTTTCAATCCCTCAGAAGCCTCTTGATTTCTATTTCACTGGGTCCGAATTGTCTCCCCCATTCACTTGAGCTGGAGTGGGAAAGTGGAAAGAGGGAAGGGAAAAGGGAGTGAAAACAGAAGAGGAAGCCTGCTTCAGGAAAGGGTGATCATTGGCTCCTCCTCTCAGAAAAGCACAACTCTGGCCCACTTCAGGAAGTCAACGTCCTACCCATTTTAACAAGTCTAGCCTAGTCCACTCCAAACATACAAAAATCCAAGTCACAAGTCAACTAGTCGAAAAAAAGTAACTAAAGAAAGAGCCATTTGTGGACTTTCTTTCTTCCAACTCATTTGACTTTGTGGACGTTATATCAAATGTTATGTGAACTCAGTGTCCAGTAAGTAATCTGGGCTACTAGTAATGGGGCCCCGGCCTATATGTCCTCTTAGAGAGCTCGAATCAAGTGGCTATTTGACCTTATTGGAGTCTGGAGCCCAATGGTCTAAGTCAATGCAAATTATATCAAATAGATCTCGTGCAATATACTATGTGCTTTGTCTTCATCCTAAGAAAAGATTTAAATGGGCTTCATCCTATCAGCTATTGAGGGTATTAAATGCTGATCAAAATTTATACCTGGTTCATGCTGAAGTATAACTTTTTTTTATGGTATTATTATTTTAATGGGAATTAATTTAGGATATTAACCTGAATAAGATAGGAGCATTTCAAGTTCAAAGAAAACCTAGAGAACTAGAAAGTAAAGGAGCCATATTTCGCATCATCAGACAATGTATCAGTGTGTTCTGGACAGAAAGGAAAGAAGGAAAGAAGAAAAGAAGAAAACAGAAGGTGAGAGAGTAGCTTTAGAAGCTGCATAACATAAAATGCAGAGGTTCAAACAGATAGTAATGTGGGATGATGATCAAACGCTGGTTTCACCCGCATGAACATCTTTTATTCATTTGTAGTGAAATCAACTCTTAATTCATTGATACCCCCGTTTCATGATACTCCCATTATTTTCTTCTCCTTGCAAATTTTCCTTGTTAGAACGCAATCAGCCACTTGTTCTTCTCTCTGTTTAATCTGGCTAAACATCTGTGAATCAGCACATGACACCTTGTAACATGAATGAAGCAATCCCTAACACACAGATTGATAATGTCTTACCTCAGTTTGCTTGTAGGACTGCCAAGGCAAATAACCCATCGATTGGGTGATTTTAGGTTATTATAGTCTGACCCTCCAAAGTCCTAATATATATGTAGAATGTCTAGAATCAGGCTTTATTGAGTGATTTTTGGGGTTTTTTGCAATAAGCGGAATTTAGAGGGGCTGAAGTAACTGGTTTCTTTCTCTATCTGGATAATCCAGTCTATCTAAGTAGATCGGCCTGGTTTGGATCAGGTCAGACTTGCCCTCGTCTCATCATCGTGCACACAATATGATCTTTTCAAGTCCATATTTACTATGATTGTGGTTTTTTTATTTTTATTTTTAGTTTTTGTTTTCCTCCAGATGGCCTGCATTTCCTAATTTTGTGGAATTTCATCATCTATGGAATTTAAGTCAGAAATAGTATCCATAGCAGTGGATTTTTTAATTTTTTAACCTCAAATATCAAACTTGATATTGTCCCTTTGGGCATCGGCTCCAGCTTGGAAATAAAGAAAAGATTCATGGTAAAAATATGTATTTATGTGTTGAAATTTGATTTGTTGAAAATCTGTATTGATTTATGGAAATAAAGAAAAGATTCATATTGATAGTCCCCTTGGGCATTGGCTCCTGGTTGGAAATAAAGATAAGAAATAATATGTATTTATGTTTTGAAATTTGACGACAATTTTTTTTATAATTTTTCTGGCCTTGTCATAGAGAGAGAAACTCTAATTTTAGCCACTTATGGACTATGTGAAAAACATTATTATTATTATCTTCTCTATTAACTCGGCCATCGAGCAAGAACAAGAAACATTATTGATGATGATGATTAGCAACTTTGGGCGTTACCTGTTTGTCCTCAGTTTGAGGAGATCTCCAACGACGACTACTTCTCCAAGAACAACGAGTTCTCAACCTGGCTGAAAGAAGAGAAGGGGACCTTCTTCTCAGAACTCTCCTCTGAAGCAGCAAGGGAGCTGTTCTTGAGCTTCGTCAAGCAGTGGAACCGGCAGAAGCTCAATCCCCGGTACTACGAGGGCATTGCGAAGGGCCCTCGGACAGGCCACAGCTGGAAGATCAGATGAGGATAAGTCCCCCTTCAAATTCTCTTAAGTACCTCCAAACTTAGCAACAGCAAAGACTCCCTCATATGGTAATGTGGTTGACTTTCTGGATCTGTGGGTTTCTGATTGGCTGTAAAAAAAAAAAAAAAAAAAAAAAAAACCAAAAAGGGGTAACCCGGTGATGCTGACTATGCCCACTTTGAGAGATTGACTTCCTCCTCATCACTTGGATTCCGGACTGGGTTTGGTCTCCTCTGACTTGACGGCAGAGCTGCCATCGGTCCCCATCTCGGCTTTCAGGTCGTTGATGCTCTGCTCCAGCTCGTCTATTCTGGTTCCCATCTCGTCGAGTGCAGGAAGGGGAGGGGGTCAAGGAGAAGCAGGAGGTAGCTGTTGATCTTTGCCGGGTGGGTGATGAAAATTGATGGGCAAATAAAGGCAAAGCTTCTATGAGAAAAAGGATATTCTTGGAGATGATTGACTCGGACATCGCCTGAAACCTGTTTTGCTGAAGGAAGAGCAGAGCAGAGCAAATTCACAGAAAAAATCAGGATTTTTTCAGATATATCCGAGCTTTAAATGCTCTCCTGTGTAAGACAGAAGCTCACCATCTGCAACAGGAGGTTTTGCACCTGGAGGGGAGGAGGAAATGACGCAGGCATCAGAACGCCATGGGTAAAACGTCGGCCCAAGCGAAGGGGAACGAGCAGTTCAATGATGATTTTGTAAGTCAACGCTATGGGTAGACTAGAAAACTTACAAAGACGGTCATGTCGGCGGTACTTTGTTTCGAATCCTCAGGATCTTGCCCGTCCTGACGGAAAACAAGTTAGTATGATGGAACAAATCAAGAAACAATAAGCGCCCCCATTGACTTTTGCAAAAAAGAACCAAGTTAGGTAACTTATTCTTTGAGCGCAAATGCACTTTAAGTGGCAAACGACAATGAATGCAGGAATAACATTGACCACAGCATCAATTTCCTCATAAACAGAATAGATAGAATCAGAAGAGGAATTCCTTGAGTTGGGATTTTACGTGCTGTTTGATATGAGAAATGCATACCGAGTTTGCATAAGGCATCATGAAAAGCACCTAGAATAAGTTGAGACTATAGATAAATCGAAAACATATAACCTTATAAAATTGATGAAAAATGAAAACAGATGAAGCAATGCTTTCTTTGAAAAGGCACGGATTCAGGATCAAAATCGGCCGTAATACGAGTTTTCATTTTTTGCAATTCCATTTACAAGACCAATAAGTTGTCTATCAACTTGTCTACTAAACCGATCTGACTAAGAGTACCCGTTGTTTCAAGGAAATTTGAAGCTATAGTGATCATGCGGATAGTAAACGTTTCTTGTTCCAAAGAAACTAAGAGATTTTCATGCATGGGAGAGATTTTTTTACCAAGAAATGTTATAGCCTGTCCTTGTTAGATTAGAGTAACAGCCCCCTCCTCCCTCCTGTAGTTGATTCCTGAAGATTTTTGTTTCAACAATCAAACATTAAAAGCATTTCTTAGCCTTTTCTTAGTTCTCAATGGAGCATTAATCATTTCAGACAATTGAAATGAATCTCTCTCTTCATTAAGTCGCTGAGTGGCTTAGAGTTTGCTTGTCTTCACAAATCTTCTGTAATGAACTATAAAACCTAGCAAACCTCTTAATTTTCTGATTTGTGTTGAGCTCTCCTCATTGTAGAACTTGCTTCCTCGAATAAAATGAAACATTTTCAACCGCATAATTTGAGACATAGCCAGTCCTTGATATCCATGCCGACCATCACACTATATCCACCCTGCAGGATATCCCTCCAATCCCTAAGAAGTATCAGGAGAAACAGAACGCAGGTGTCATAATTTGCCTCTTGTATAATACTTTTGCCCAACGATCTCCTACCATAATCTTTACGGTCCCAATTCACATAACCATTTTCATCACTCCATGGTCCCCATTCGTTTTTCCCTTGTGCGATCCCCTCTCAATTGATGGTATGCTATCCCCTTCGTCTTCCATCATGCCCTTAAAAGTCCTCTACAAACTGCCTTTATGGACACGGTTTGTGGAATCAGAAACAAAGTGATATAATAGAATGACATATTTTACTGGACAAACCTTAAATAACAGTAATCCCCCACCTTAGGGGGTGATGTTGTCTTTTCAACCTACAAATCTACCAGCAACTTCCTCTGTCAAACATGATGCCTCTGCGTTAATAATACACATGATAAGAGGCAGTCCCAAGAATGACATAGGCAAACTTGCCACCTCACAACCTGGAAGTAAGGGAACTCCATGCACCTCCCATTTCTTGACATCTAAGCCTACTACTATAACTCTTGGCATAATTTACTCTCAAGCCTTGGCTACTAGGAGAAGCTTCAACCACAACCTCGTGAAAAGAGTTGATCTTCCCCTACCAAGCTAAATAAAATAATCTTCTGCATACTGAAGATGAGAAACTTGAGGTCGTGCTGATGAACTAGAAAATCTCTGATTCACCCTCGTCTTTTACACCTTTGCCACATACAGTCTATAGCGTTATTCCACTAGATACACATATTTCCCATAAATGTGGCACGAACTTCTGAACTTTATTATAGCTAGGAGGTCTTTACATGATCAATTTCCCTAAGAACGTTCTTTTACTTTGTTGGAAGCTTATTCTTCAGTACAAAAGTTATTCACCTAGATCTAGGTCCTCCATTTTGATTCAGTCTATTAAATGAGTTCGCATAAAAATTATTGTTCACCTCACTTCCTTTTTCCTTTTTAGACTTATTTGGTAAAGATCTGGTTTATCATTTATCGACACTTCTCATATTCTTCAATTTCATGTTTCCATTTTCCAACTTCGTAATTCTCAGTTAAAAATCTGCAAGTTTTCAGTCCAGTCCACGACTTTTTGTTCTCACCATTGACAATATGAGATATATTTAATTAAAAGGAAAACTTGACATATTGCAATCAAATATTGCCACCAAAATTCCGTGTTGTGTAACATTATCGGCCTCAATAACGTGCATATCTGGTCCAAAGGCTCGAGTGGCAATGTAAAGTTTTCAGTGTTTCCAAACTTCATCCCCAATTCTTGTCCACTGTTTCCAGCCAACAAGTTCACCTGTTCCACTGGAATTGTGCCATCCGCACTTTTATCTTGCCTTCCAGATGTAGGGATGCTGTCTTATTTCATAGAGGTAGGTATCAAGTGTTTTCTTATTTAGAATGTTTTCTTCATTGTTTTACAGGAAAAAGAGATTAGATTGAGAGATGTCAACTATGCACTTAATCTTAACCAGATTCTTGCACATCAATATCAGCAAGAAAACAAGAATAGATCCGGGAACTCCCGAATAATTGGTTAACTGATCAAGGACATCAGATCATAAAGATTTAAGTCTCAGAAACCTACAGCAATCGTCAAGATCTTCCAACTTCAAAGGATGCCATTCCAAGCAAGCCACCTTATATGGCATTCTATAATTGAAACCTAGAAAAAAGCTTCAATGAAAATAAATAATGAATGACAACTGAGTTTTGACTATCTTTTGGTTTTTTTATGTTCTATTTGATGACACAAAACATCCTGATTAAGTACCACAGCATTCTGCAGCATCCTAACCATATATCTTGTGGTTCAATCAGAACCCTCAATTTCAGAACAAAAAAATTTTACCAATTTTTTTATTTTCTCCCTCAATGCATCACATTTGAGGAATGTTTACAATCAATTTTTCAATGTGACACTATATGGTTGATGTAAACTTATCCTCAGCACTCTGGTCTGCAGAGAATATCCTCAACTTTTCCCTCAATTTTTCATTGAAACTAATCCTCAATTTCAATGAGACAGATCATGAAGAGATTTTCAAGTGGATGGCTCTTGTAGATGTCTATTTTATGCTAAAGTAGGGGATGTCATTTTCTGTTTTTCTTCCATTGAGTGCTAATTGAGTTTTTCGGTATGGTAGACCCAACTGTTGAGCCTAATAATTGCCAAGACAGAGAGATACCATGCTGATCAACCTTGCTCACAGGGAGGGTTAAAGTGAAATCCAGTGGCAGCAAGTATCTGTTCTCATGTTGAGAGTGAGCTACTAAACATTTTGCAATTTCGATTTCCTCTTCTGGCTCAATCTTATTGATCTCACTCTTAGGAATTAGGGTTTCTAATTCTCAGCACGAAAAACTCATGCTGCAAACCAATCAACAGCATTCGATGCTTTGGTGTTTAATATAGCACGCCTAGGGCTTTTACAATAATTTATCTTCCATTGCACAAAATTTATAAACCTAAAGATAATGGGCGAGTCTGTGAGAAAAAATTTCTTCAATTGCATCAAAAGCCTAGGGTCTTTACTATAATTTTCCCTTCTCTATCTTTCTCCCATTATCTTCTTCATTCTACCATCAAACTCTTCATAGGCTTTCCTCGCACATATTCCGACGTCCCATCCCTATCCTTCATTCTTATGCACCTACCATTTGCTGTATGACAAAGCACATCTTCCGTTAAGATGAGGACCGCCAACCAAGCAAGAACAGCTAAATATAAACCTCATATGGATTGTTGTGCATAATTTTATCATGATATCAGTTCGGCGATGAGAATGCAGGAAGAGCGACTGAACAGGAAAAACTCCTGTAAATAAAAGACTTTCAGCGAACAATTGAGTTCTACTACGAGAAAACATCTTCTTAGCATTGAAAATTGTGAAAAAAGAAAACAGTGCCCCCAGGAAAACATTTGCATCGTGCAGACCATATAAGAAATACTCTTCTTCTCCTTAGAGATTATCCAGAAACTAAGTTGCTAAAAAGTATTAGTAGTGTCTGAGAAAAGTTGACTTATGACCAAATTAACTAGATATTGACATTTTTCAGCATTATACTGAAAACTCACACTAGAGCTTCAGAAACTAAATTATCCGAACTTGGAACAGCACAACTCTATCTCATACTTATAAACCGCACTTAGTCAATAGGGTGTGATGAGCCACTTTCCGGGTAAAATAACTGTAAATAACAACCAAAACCTCGTTCAAAGCCTCCCAAATGGCAGGAGCCAACGCGGATACGGAAAAGGATTCAAAGATTCCCATATAAAACAACTACAACCCAACTAAAACGCCCAGCAAGAAGGAACTAATGCGGAAACAACCCAGGAAACGGAAACAGAGAAGACAAAAGGACAAAAACAAACAAAATCCACGAATCACAGAAAGCAAGATCCAGGGTAAGAAATCACAAAACGACTCGACAAACATTTTGAAGAGATAGGATTGCGAGGGACACAAACCATCTTAGCTATCCCCCAATCCCTCTCCGTCAGTTCCTCCCGTCCGATCTCTCCGTCTCGCTCCGACTGATCGTTCCTGTTCGAGGAGGGCTGGCGAGAGAGTGAGTTGGAGAGAATAATGGCTCCCAGAGGCCGCCGATTTATTTTAATGTCGTTCTAAAGTACGTGCATTTTATGCGATAAGCCTTCTTACTTTTATCAATTAATTAAACATCCTAATATTTTCTTATATTCTTAGTTAAGCTTTTTGGTCTTTTGAGACATCTTCGCTGCGGACCCTACTCAGTTGTTACTAGGGGCAATTAAATGTGGATTTAGAGTATATGTGTAATTAATTATAATAGTTGGTCTAAAGTAAACTTTGAGTGGAAAATTGCTAGAGTTATAGAGGTCTTAACTTAAAATAGTCACAGGTCGTGTGGTCCTAGTAGAGAATGAGCCAATCGGCTATCAGTCCACGTGGGAGGGTAAGAATATGACACGTGGCACCTATTTAGCAGTGACCTGTAATCAGTAAGATAGATGAGTGAGAAAGATGAGAGAGAGAGAGAGGGAGAGAGAATATTATCTTCATAATCTATATAACTAAATTCGGCGATTGACTTATGAAGTGACTAATAAGTTATATTTATTTAATAATTTTCAAGGTCATTAGCTTGGTATTATTTATTCTGTCATAAAATCTGTCTGAACTAAAAAAATGATCTAGTAATTATTCCTAAAAAAAATTCGTCAGCAAATAAGGGATTGTAGAGAGAGAGAGGAGGAAGGAGAGAAAGATCGAGTAATTATTCCCCAAAAAAACCTTGAGCAAGTAAGGGATTGTAGAGAGAGAGAGAGAGAGAGAGAATGATCCGTTAATTATTCCCTAATAAAACGTTGAGCATGTAAGGGACTGTAGAGAGAGAAAGAGACGGAATGATCCCGTAGTTATTCCCCAAAAAAACCTTGAGCAAATAAGGGATTATAGAGAGAGAGAGAGAGATAGGAGAGAGGTCCGATAATTATTCCCCCAAAAAAAGCCTTGAGCAAGTAAGAGACTGTAGCGACAGAGAGAGAGAGGCTGGTGGCGGCGCCATGAGCGCCGGCGGGGGTTTGAGGAGCCTGCTGGCGGCGGCGGCGGTGAAGGGGGTGGAGGAGGCGCGGGCGAGGATATTCGGACATGTACTGAACCCACTGGGGAAGCGATCGCCCAACAAGATCCTGCGGAAGAAGCTCATCGGCGACCAGGTGGCGGAGTGGTACCCTTACGACATCAAGTTCGACGACCCCCTCGTCATGGCCCGCGAGGAGAAGGAGTATGAACTCTCTCCATCTCCTCTGCTTTCTCGCTTTTTTGCGCCTGTTCTTTCTCGACCAGGTGGCGGAGTGTGTACACAGTACTTCTGCAGTGCTGTGGTGTTGGAGTGTTGTTTCATGTTTTTCTTGTCCATCTATCCATATGTAAATCCATTTCCTGCTTCCCTGGTGACCCGTTTTGAATGAACCCTGTGTACACATTAGAAGCTCATAACTCAATTTTCCCCTTTTTAGTTTCTGTATTTGCTCATGCTTATCAGGATTCATTGTCTCCCATGACTCCCTTGATAATTCCTTTTGTAGAAAGGTTGCTCAGGTGTCCATTAGAGTAGTATTCGAACAGAAGCAATATGAAACTGATAATGTTCTTGTTATTCCGTCGTTGGCTATTTATCTTTTGTTAAATCTTCTTCAACCGAGGATGGAGACGGTACTTAATTAGTTGACTCAATTGTCTTCTACTTCATTGCTGGAGTTTAATAAAAGTTACTTTCATGTCATCTAGAGAAAACAGAGCTGCATAACATTGACCAAGGTCCTAGCAACCAAGATCATAGATAAAGATTTTACCAGGAAAAGCCTAACCCATCAATTCCGGAATGTTTTATACTCTAGTTAAGAAATTTCAAGCTGTTCATTCAAGTTTTATTTAACTTCCTTGATCGTCACTCAATTCTTCCTAACACATCATTGGTATCTGGTCTTCAATGTCCCGCCACTGACATTTTTTCATCAAGCATCCTTTGGAACATAGGGAAGAAATTATGTTTTGATGACTGTTCTCCTTGATTGTGATGTGGGGCTCTGACCTGAGATTATGATGTGGGACTCTGACCTGAGATTAATGGTTGAGCTAGTAGTGGTTAATTGTCATTGTTATCTTGGATAAAATAAAGTTCAAAAGAGCCAAAATTATCTTGGATGAATATTGATGTCGATTTCCCTGAGGAACCTACTCCCAAATTCCATGCTAGTGGGAGGGACGCCGTGGACGAATGGTCATTGGGTGAAGTAGCGACTTACTGCAAGACAGCAATGAGATGTAGACACAATAAAAGGGTTCCTCAAGAGACAAAGAAAAAGAATGTTTCTGGATGGATCACTGACTAGACTCCGAGTGATGTATTGACTCTTGGTTATGTTGTTTGTCATCCTTTAGTGAATTAGTTGACGGAAGTAGAGCACATCGAGGGTTTATTCTTCCACCGTCTCAGGAAAGGAATACATTCTAAAAGCAGTTAATGAATTATGAAAGATGTGTTGCGAATGGCCTTTTGAAATAGTGAAAATGATTTCCTGGTACCGAACTGCACGGATTTTTCAATTTATGGGTGAGAAAGTGGAAGCTTTGGAGACTAATGAGGGAAGCTTGGGGTTGTAACTGAAAGAGAAAAGTTGCTAGAATCCGAGCATTGGTTCTTTCCATTAGAGGCTGACTAAGAGTTGGGCGTGGTGATTGTAGAAGACTCGAAATATTTTGCTCACAGCCACAGAGGAACGAGTTAAAGTAGAGAGATTATTTGCCTCAATTATATATTTAAATAGCTGTTGAAAGTCGGGATGGTTAGGAGTTCAATAATGTTCTGTTAGAGTCAAGTGGGAGTCTTCTGGATTTGGTCATGCTTTTATTCCTGGGGAATTGGAACCGCAAATCAGCGAGGGAATTGAGTCAGAAAGCATGAGACCTAGGAAACAGAGAATGATTAGTATCTTCGACTGATGCGAAATCTGGCAGAACCTGAATATAGCTGATAACATTCTCTGGTCCGTAGTGAAGAATAAAATATGAAAAATGAAGCAAATGGGTGACTTTCAGTCAAATATTTCATTATAGTTATTACTAAGGGGGAATACTAATGTGGAAGAATGTTGAGAACTTTACTACAGGAAATTTCTCCATTAGATTAAAATGTTGCTCTAAAAGGATTGCAAAACATCATAAAAAATATTAAGAATTGTACTACAGAATTGAACCATTGCCGTTTTGTGAGAATGTAGCATCATTTGTCGGATGGAACGTTTTTTATCACGTGTGTAATTGGGTAGTTTGCATGATGTCTTTAGTTTGATTTTGAGGAGTGATGCTACGCCACCTCTCTCTCTCTCTCTCTCTCTCTCTCTCTCTCTCTCTCTCTCTGTTAATTAGTGCCTCTTCGTTTTCAGTGTACATTGCACATTTAGAGGAAATGTTTAATTTTCGTTTTTCTAATATATCCATGCTGTATCGAATTTGTAAAGTCGAACATTAGAAAATTGTTTTCAGGGAAAGGTTTAGATGTAGATAATATCATGGCCTTACTTTCCTTGTTTCTCTAGGCGGTTGTCTAAGCTGGAAATGTTGAAGCGGCGTGGGAAAGGCCCACCGAAGAAAGGACAAGGAAAGCGTGCTGCAAAGCGTAACAAATAAATACACATTTTGGATCTTATCTACTCTCCAAATATGAAAAGGTTGACGCAATTGGAATCACTCAGATCTTGAAACTCCTGTTCTTCTTTGATTAGACCACTCGCAGGCGAATGATGAAGAAGCAATTACCTGATCCAGTTTTGTTGTTTATTATCCTTTGTGCTTCATGGTTAACTTTCTCTCATCCGTGGGTGTGATATTGGCTAGATATTACTATAGACAAGCCCATGCTAAAAGCTTTGTTCTTAACTGCCTTGAAAGGTTCACTTTCTGCTTTACGTTCCGACCCTTTGTTCCTCTCCTCTACCCAATGATGATCAATGTTTTATCAGCTACGACATTACTGTGACCAATAAATTATTCTAGGATAATATTATGTGGTGTGCTTTACATCTTTAGCAAATTTACAGTCTTAATTGCATTATCAATGGAACAGGCAAAGCTCGATACTTGGGTTGATGCATTTTTCTGGGATTGTCGTAGAATTGATATCAGAGATAAAAATAGTTTCACCCCCAGATGATATTTATCTCTGCATTTTGTCTTTAGAGAGACCTCTCCTTGGAGTGTGGGAGCACATTTCATTGACGTGTGGCCCTCCCTCTCGTCCTCATTAAGCATTTATCAGGTTACCCTCACTTCCCTAAAGTAAGAAGAACCCTTCTCCCATCCCTGTCAGCCTCCCTTCCCAACAGATGGACTCAGTTTCTTCCAGTTGACCTCATGTTAGATCTTGGTCAACGGTGGAATGAAATACATTGCTGTCTGGCAGTGCTAATGTCACGGAAGAAAGCCTTAGAAAGAAGTCTGTTGACCTGGCTATCATGAGAATCCTTCTATATACTTCGGAGGCTTTCAGTAAGTGTTCCAGGATCCATCCATGCTTGTACCGATAATTTTTACTAGAAAAATGTACATTCACCATCTTAATTCTTCTTCATTATCATCATTTCTTCGCTCAATTAATGAACTAGAAATATGAGCAAATGTTTTGTTAAACTAACAGCCGGGATTTGAAAGCTTCTTCACTGTTTTATGCATATTTTTCTTGCTTCCGTTGTTTCACAGCCATTCTGATCTGTTTAAGATATGTTTCATTGCATTTTTGTATGAAAGATGTAGAATAAATAATTACATGAAAGTGGTGAAATGTTAGTTATGACAGGCAGATCATACTAAAGCCTGACTGATTGCTATAAATTTTCCATCACAAGAGCGATGAATGTGATTAAACAAAATAGAGTCACAAGCTTCACAACTTTCTTTGGCATATATAACCATCCATTAGTGGCTATGAAATGTCTGGAATCCAAATCTGGCCATGTTCTTATTTCTCATCCATTTATTTGACATTCCCCACCACCAGAAACCATGTCAATTTCCTAAAGAAGTCATTACCATGACAGATAGAATGTAGACTCCATGTTCCCAAATCCCAAACATCAAAATACCTGCTGCACAAAACTGCTCATCATAAAGACCACCACCGCCTCAGAAGAATTGATATAGTTTTCTTGTGGTTGCTATGTCAGGAGATTTTCACTAAGAGAGAAAATTCTCCTGTTTATTGTGTGGGGCAAAGGGTAATTTTTATATCAAATAACTTACACCGAGAGAGAAAAATGCTAGGAATGTGATATCTCATATTATATGGCATCATAGAGTCCAAGATGGTGGATAGTGGATGGGGTATTAGGAAGGCAGCATAACCGAATAGTGGAATTATTTCAATGGTCAAGTGGTATTAGGAATGCTAGGAATTTGATTTTTTTTGTATCTCCCAGCATGACATCTATGTTATTTTCTGGATTTATTTTTTTTCATACCCAATATTTATGTTGCTACCTTCTCTTCATAAAATTATTCTTTATTTAATTTTTTGAGCAATATAATTCTTCATTTTAAAGGATCAATTTATTAGATTTAACATAGGAAATTTCTTGCCAAAAATGATCCAAGTAACCTTTTAGGACAGGATATGCAGGGTTGTATTCATCAGGTGAAATTTTTTGAGAAGTTTTGGGTTAATTATTAATAACATCAGACCTATTTTGATCAAGAGAACCTAAAATCATAGCCCTTGTGACTATTTTATTGGAAGAATATGTACCCTAAAATCATTCACAAGGCAATGGGATCTTATAGTGCATAAGTCATTAATGCGATAATAGTTCCACCTTGCTGTATTCTTTGTTTCTCATGGAAAATCAATCAAACCATATCTATGGTGATGTATAGTTCTTTTTAATTGTCCATAATTTTACTTTAATATAAATGAGGTTGATAGTGATATGTGATGATGGTGACTTGATAGCCACATTTTAATGCACGCCTTCATCTATATGCAACCACCAAGAACCTAAAGTATTTGATCAATAATCATGCGAAAATAATAGAATGCCATGATATTCTTTCTTCAAAGAAAGTGGTTCTTCAAGTTGGACATGACATAAGGGGAAATTTTTCTCAATTACTAAGATGACAGATCTTCAATAACTAGGTCCTCCTAAGATCAGATTGATAAGCCATCATATGAATACCTTCAAAAAGTTTCAGACCGAATTCATATTTTTATTTGAGTCGTCTAAAGGGTCCATTGAATATTCAAGTTTCTTAATGGATCTTTATATGCTTGAGTCAACTACATGCTTTGGCATATAATATTAATAATAATATTCCTAGAATCTTGTGAGTACACAAACATAAGGAAATTACAATGATTAGGATTATTCTACAATAATTGACATTCCTAGGTTCTTTCTTGAAAGTGACAATAGCAATCATTGGAGTACCAAAAAACGTCCATGATTTAGTTGTAGAATTTTTCATTATTTATTGTAAAATATTTTCTCACATGAAAATATTAAAGTTATTAGATCAAACTTAAATTTCTAAACATTTGTGGATGATCTCAAGATTCACAACTTGGGTTTTAATTAACCAAGTGAATAGTTTAAAACTTTGTATTCTCCAGATATGAAATGTCTAAAAAAACTTGGGTTTTAGATATATATACAACATAATTTTTTAGTTGTCAGTATATCTTTACTCATGCCTTCAAAGCATGGTACTAAATAGTTAATAAATTTAATGCTGAAATCACCATTGGTTCATAGAATTCATGGAATATTGTGTGATTATTTTGAATTTGTAGAAAATGAAGATTATTGGAGTCAACTAGTGAAATATGATCTAGATTAGAATGGAGCTGAAAGTTGGATTTGGGTTGATTGTCCAAATACATGAGTAAGTTTCATAGCTTGGTCAACAATGATGAAGAAGAAAATATGCATTATAATTTTACTCAAATGGATATCTACATATTGATTAGAGTAAAATGAGCTATAAAAATATTTCCTCAATATTCTAAATGAAATAATTTTACTCTACTAGTAAATAAAATTTCACTCTTGATTGTGATCAACATTGTCTTAAATCGTGTATCACAACTAATGATGGAGAGAAAATGAATTCTTGGGAATTGGAAATTATTGATATACATAATATAACATAATAAATTCAATCTCATTTAGTTATGGGTGGGAATTTATTTTTTTTGTTTTTTTTTATTTTAAAAATCCAAAGCCAACTACTTTATGATAACTAAAACCTTCAGTCATGTTTTAATATAAAATGTATTAAAATTATTGGTGGGTAATGCACAATGATTCTTTAATTTACTAAGATATTGACTAACATATACCACTAGATACTAAGTTTCTTTTTTCCTCTCCTCTTCTCTTCTCTCTATCTCTCTCTGAAATGAACGTCCAGCATTAATGGCTCTAGTTATGAAATGTCTCATTTTCATATGATTTAAATCATTAATCTTTCTATATTTGGGATCAATCTATCTTGCCACCTCTTAGAATGTAAAACTCTTACGGTTTTATGGGTGATATTCCCTCATTGGTAGTATCATTTGAAGCCTATTGAAAGGTAATCATTGAACACAACTGTCTAATTGAATAACTCAATGGAAAAAAAAAATGGCAAATCTTTTGAAAGTGTGCAAAGAAGAATGTTCTTTCATGAATGGGAAACATGGGTTTTATCATTGGTTTCACATGTTTTCTCAAGATATGTGATCACAAAATAAAAGATGTGCACAAGGAACCACTACTCATGTAGGTTTTGAGGAAAACCTTTGGATTAGCACTACTATTCATATAGCCTGTGGAACTTGCTTGCCAAAGAATGAGAGGTCCAAGTGCAACTCTCCAACTATTTTCCCAATCCTCCCATGAACTAGGCTGTCAACAAACCTTTTAATAATATAATAACGATGGTGTCAATAGCTATTATTAGTATAAATGAGGAACAAACTAGGGCCCACATGTCGCTATCATCTTCAACTATTTTATAAATTACATCAATATGAAGGATAATGTTATCTTTCACATTGTATAAGTAAAGAACATGTCCTATGTTCTAATTCACACTTGGTAGGAAAACCCAATTATGGAACATTATGAGTAAAAATACATAAGTAAATCATCTAATATAGGATGTTAGATGAGATCCCATTCAAGGATTGAGCATGGGCTTGAAATTCATGTCCAAAAAGGGAAAATAAATTGAATAATCATTTACAATAATCTGATTATTTGGATTGAGGCCTTGCCAAGGTTTGATCCAAAAGGATGGGAGTCTGAGTCTAGGGAACACAACACAAGAGCTCCCATTCTTTACAAGGGCACAACCCAACCCTCTAGGACCCTCTCAATCTTGGCTCATAAGAACTCCACCCTACCCATTAGAAGCCCACCTCTCCTAGTTTTTATGGGCACCAATGAGTATGAGGAGGAAATTTGTTGAGCCCATTAATTAATGATGCACTATATTTTTTTTTTAAATTTTGCAGCTAGAAATTCGACTTTTGTATAATTTAAAAAAATAATTCTTCCCCTTCTAAAAAAATCACAATACTTTTTAATGAAGCAATCGTCCTAATATTTGGTAATGGAAGCTCTTCCTTAGGCTACACGGAAGATCCTCTATCGTATGCCTTGAATGCATGATTGGCCCTTGTGGTGGGGACCACTAACGTGACGTACCTCTCTAAACGGGCGGCGTATTTTGGAAGGGCAATGACTAGTCATACGTATCGTCGTCAACAAGCCACGTAGGCAGGCGATGGGGGTTGCTTGCCGTCAAAAACCATACTTTTACACCTCGATTTCTCGTCGGTGTCCGTGCGGCAACGGTCTTCTCCGCCGTCCTTTCTTCCCCCCCGCCCTTATCCTCCGGCTCCTCGTCCCCGCAGCGGCCCGCGAGGAGAAAGCTCGCTCCTTGGCACCGGGTTGCGATCTGGGTCTCGGCCTTCCCGCCCTGCGCAGGGAGTTGGTATCTCCCGGTTTGTGGGGTGTGATTAAAGATTCAGATTGTTGTTCAATTAAGGAGGGTTTTGTTCGATTTAGGTGGGTAGGTGGGGATGGCGGTGGTGCTGGAAGAGTTGATCAGGTCGATCGAGGTGTGGTTGGGGTTAGTGAAGAAGCAGAAGCCTCCGGTGAATCCGAAGCTCGATCCGGTGCTGCTGGTGCCGGGCATTGCGGGCACCGTGCTCCACGCAGTAGGAGAAGATGGCAAGGAGGAGAGAGTCTGGGTGCGGATTCTGGGCGCAGATCACGAGTTCCGAACCAAATTGTGGTCACGGTTTGACCCATCGACAGGTGAGAAAGAGTTGGATTCTCGTTGAGAAATCACCAAATTGGCTCCTTACTTCGTTCCTCTGTGCTTTTTAAATGCTAAAGAGGATTTGGCGTGCTGTGTCTATGGATGCTTGAAGTTCGTCAATATTGTTCCCATTTGGGCCCATTGATTATGTTTCTCTTCCTCGACTCGTAAACTTTCTCTCTATGCTCAGACAGAATGGAGAAGCAAAACCACAGTCTATCCGTCCTATTTCCTTTTCCTCTCTCCTTTTCATTTTCGGCGCCGTCACTTCGTTGACTTGCATCAGCTTCCTTCTTTGTTGAGTTGTGAGGTAGAGGTGAAGGATCTTTCGGGCATTCCATCTTTGTAAAATCACACCGAGCTTCCATCATGTGAGCTGGTAATTAGGACAGTCGATACATTAAACTTGTTCTAAGAATTCATTACTTGTTCTAAGCATGATCTCTCCAAGACTCACTGTGGCTCAACCTGATCGAGTCCCTAATAATGCCCATCCAATGTACAATAGAATAGAGCCTCATAATGCCCACATTTGTTTGGGCGGAGTAGATCCAAATTGATGTTCATACCTTATCTATGTTGGTGTTTCAAGTCCGATATCAATTTTTCACAGGAACCTCATCAGCTTCTTCCAAACAACTCATTTTAATCCAAAATCATCTAGCTCAGAAGTTAAGTGCTATTTCCTTTTCAGGTCTGGGGATTCTCATTAGTTATCCTCACTGGGTTCATTTGTTAGCAGGTTCCTAAGAAGTTGACCTTCAAACTCTCAATGCCAAGTTAGAGACTTGTTGTTCAACTGTCCGATGAATGATCGTTGACCTTGCATTCACCTGTTAATGTAGAGCGTCCATCCTACATGTGTCGTTGGTAGACGTTATGGCATTGAATGTTTTCAGTTGTGTATCCCCCATATGCTTCCCTCTTTGTACGTTTGCGTATAATCCCTCTGTGCTCATTACAGTCCCTCTTTCATCTCCCTCTCTTGGGCCTCTTTTTTTCTCTCTCATCACATCCCTCACTCTCTCCTCCTCCTGTCACAGTTCTCCTTGTTTATCGCTGTCTCTCTCTCATTCCTCTATCCTCCCTCTTCTTGTAGTTCCATATCTTTCTTTACCTCTACTGAAAGAAGCCTATGTATATTTTTCTTGATCTTCTTCCACTGAAAACAACTTTGTGGAAGAGAATCAATACAAAACGCATTAAAAACCTATTTTTTAAGACCTTTTCGTCTTTGATAACTAATGCTTCAAATGGGTAATCTTCCACATAGTCTCTCAACCGGTTCCAATATTTATGAACATTCTCTGTAACTGGGTGAGTCGATCTCCATTTTGTCAGTTTCCATTAAAGATTTTCCATGTACTTCTCGATCCCATCAATTTCAGGTGGAATTGGGACTTTCTCCTGGAAATCAGACCAGGGTCCCCTGATTCGAGCTGAAATATCACCAACATTCTGCTGCATGCGAGTACTAACCTAACCTTCTGAACACATGACCAATATAGATAACTTTGACTATGTTTCTGCCAGTGAGTACACTTCATATTGTTCCTTGTTCGAAGTGCTTGCTTCTTAAGAATGTTCATAAGGAAGATTGTCTTGCACTGCTTTTCTGATTCTTGTCACATCTTGTTGTCTGAAATCTGTAGCTTATTGGATTTAGCCTTTGGAGTGTACACCTCGAAATCTTTTGACCCTACAGATTTCGGATGTGCTCCCCAGAAAAGAATCGTAAGGGTTCACTGTTGACGATTCCAAGATCTCTTTTGGTCAACGGTGAGAGCCTCTCATCCTGTAAGAAATCCAAAAGGAATTCACCTGTACCAGGGATGTCTGTCATATCGTAAACATTTATCTTGCCCGTTTCTTTGAAACTGGGAATGAATGGAATCAAGGATAATAAATATTGCCTGTTGGATTAACAAAGATGAGGGAAAGACACTTTCTTCTTGCCTATCTCCTGCAATAATCTTTGATACATTAATTGGTTTAAAAATTTTCAAAAATTGCAACTTCTTGCCGTCCAAGTTTCAAAAATAATCAACTTTTGTTTTATGCTGATGAGCAGGTCAGACGTCATCATTGGATGAAAAAACACGAATATTTGTGCCTGAAGACAGATATGGGTTATCTGCAATTGATAACTTGGATCCTGATGTGGTACATGACCTCTTTCTCCGCTGCAATTAATTAAAGAAGCTAAGTTTAAGAGGCATCATTTAAGCTGGTGTAAATATTTTTCTGATGTGCCTGAAGACAGATATGCTAGTTTCTGTGAAAATATTTTTGTACAAATGCTTAAGAGATTTCAAGCACTCTAGTTGCCAACTCTGCGATACAGTGTGTAATACTTCTTTTAATTTTTCATGATTAAACCAGCTTCTTTTAATTTTTCATGATTAAAGTCTTCTCTATCGTAAATTCTGATGATCCATGCTGTTAATTTACAAATACTCGATGTTATCTTACCACATTTGGCTTGATTATTGCCTGAAAAGTGTGGAGATTTTGTCTAGAGATTATTGATCGACCATGGGGCAAATCTGTGGAGTTGTTTGCAGCCACTTTGCTCCTTCCGAAGCTTTTATATAAAAAATACAAAGAATGGGGTTATCCTCAATAGCCATTTTTTAAAAAAAAGTTGGCCTTATTTTTTTTGACGAATTCAATATTTATGTTATATTCTTAGGCTGGTTATAAAACAATGCTTTTGAAATCAAATGATAACTGAATAAGCAAGTTGCGTACACTACAAGTGACACGAATTTTTATGGTGGTTCGATCAATTCTAGACCTACACTCTCTAGGCCTCTCCTTGACTTTTTCAACTGGTTTGACGAATTTTTATAATTTTTCAGACAATTGTAAACGTATCTGGCTTTGCAATAACGAGGTCTAGGTTAATTCAAATCCTTATCTAGAAGATGTTGTTGACCAGTAATGAGTTCACCTTTGAGATTTGTATTCAGCATTTTTACTTTGACGAGATGGACGTCATTCTATTGGAAGATACTAATTATATCCCGATTCAGTGATTTAAAAACAACATTAAGGATTCTATTTCTTTTCCATTTTTCTTCATTTGAATTCAAAATACTCTGATTGGTATCTCAGATTATTGGCTGCGATGCTGTTTGCTATTATCATGATATGATTGAGCAAATGCTCATGTGGGGCTTTGAAGAAGGCAAGACACTTTTCGGATTTGGATATGACTTTCGGCAGAGTAACAGGTATCTGTGCTTATATAATAGTTTGGTGATTTCTTACATTACTTATTTTGTTTATTATATACTGAATATTGGCATTCAAGGGTTAGTTTTCTTTTCCATTTAGTTTTTATTTAACGTTTTTCGATTTCTCTTATTATTTGCATGGAACATCCGTAAATTCGTTGAGCTGAATAGAAAACTTTATAGGATTACTTTTCTTTTTCACTTAGGAATTGATAATCCTTAATGTGGTTGCCTTCCTTCAGGCTTGAGGAAACAATGAATAAGTTTTTGATGAAACTGGAGTCCGCATACACTGCCTCTGGTGGTAGAAAAGTACGCATTATATCCCATTCTATGGGTGGAGTTCTGGTTAAGTGCTTCATGAGCCTGCACTCTGATGTAAGAATATTGGGTCCAAAACTCTGTTTTCTTTTTCTTTTCGTATTCGCTCATCAAAACTTTGAGTGATCTTGATTTTTCAACAGGTTTTCAAGAAATATGTTGATACTTGGATTGCAATTGCTGCACCTTTTCAAGGTGGGTATTGAGTTATATGGCATCATTCATCTGAAAGTGTATTCTTATCAACTGTTTTCTATAATGCTGCTTTATACCAAAGACTTTAGCATTTGACACCATATATGCATTTTTCATGACTTGATTTGGGGGAGGATATTGATAACACATTTTGATTATCATATAAAGCAACCATTTTCACTTATCTGTTCATTGTACTGCGAATCTGTAGTAGTCTATCATGGTGATATTAATTTCAGTTAGATTCATGTGCATAATTTTCTTGACGTTTTCTTCTCCATGCAAATAAATTGGTCGCGATGTTGTGATGTGAAAAAAATATCTTGTGGATAATTAATTCACAACGAGAGAATAACTGCTTCAATGTGGTTGGATTCCGTCCATCTTTTTCACATTTAATGAGTGAACTATCAGTTTTATCTAACTTAGTTTTGAAGATCAGGCGCTTCATATTCTTACATTGTAAGTTCTTGGAATTCAAGATGTTTTTCTTCATGATTGAAAGAAAAAAAAAATCCAGAAAAATAGTTATCATCGTTGTTTGTTTGTTTTGTGTAAAACACTACAGTTTAAACACAAACGTCATGAAACAGCTGATCCAGATTTAGGTATTTTCTAATAAATAATTCTATCAGGTGCACCAGGATACATCACAACAAGCCTTTTGAATGGGATGTCATTTGTGGACGGATGGGAGCAGAACTTCTTCATATCCAAGTGGAGCATGCATCAGTTGGTATGGGAATATGATTTTTCTTTCTCTACAAGTTCATGGACTCGTAGCTAACAGGAGAAAAGTACATCCTTTCCTTTTCCACCCGTCGCTCAAGAAAGCATAATATAGTGGAAAGCCAAACTGACGTAGTCCATTAAAACTAGATGCCTACAGGGAAGCCTCAGGAACCTATCAGCTACATCATCCTTCCCTTTACTAGGTGACATTTTTGTGAATATGTAATTGATTCTCAAACGTCAACATGTAAGAAATAGAATGTATATATTTCCTGAACACTAATTCTCAGGTCATACCGGTTACCATTTTCCATTCTTTAATTTTCCCCTATTCATCTACCATTGAATGAATTCATTTATATCGGCGAAGTTCATGAGAATTTTGTTCAACCATCTGCAAATAATATTCAAGCACCCAGCATATAGCTTTGCTGTCAATGAAGATGTGATGCGTTACCCCCTCTGCTTTTCCATAAAAGATCTAAGTAGCCTTTATTCATGCCTTTTCTTAGCTTTTCTCATCCTCTTGGGAATTTCTCGTGGATACTTGATTATGAACCTGATTGTTCACTGTGTTTGTTTTTGATTGCCCTTTTATATTTTCCTTGTGACTTGTGGTTCCTGAGTAGTCTAACTAGCGATGCCGTGTGCTTAAGGAAGAAGCACTCATCAAACTTTTCTTTTAGGAGATTCCTTCCCTGCTATCAGCTGATAATCCGGGTTTGATTTTTTTCTTAAAAAGTCAAATATTCCCTTCATGGAGACCATATAATAATGAACTTCAAGAATGCTAATTGGACAATCTTATCAGTTTGTGTTCATGGAATTTCATCTCCCGCCAAAGTTGATATGTCATCGGATTCCACTAATTTTTTTTCTACTTACAATACTTATCCATCAAAAGTAACATCAACTTATAAAGTTTTATAATTCTCCCACCACTTTTTGATCCCCGCTTCTGATTATACGCATTTATTTCTCCTGCAGATATTTTTCCTCTTATCAAGAAATTTCTTGGAAAGCCATTTTTATTGTTTATATTCCACAGAAAAGTATTCTGAAAAATGGGGAAAAATAATAGGTTGTTGAGAAGGTCCTGATGTGCAATGAAGTTATTTAGACCTTCCTAATAAGCTTCTGCTGTTCAATCATCAGGTGTTTAATTGAAGTTTTAGGCTAGTTTGCTCCGGTGCCATACTCTTCTAGGTCTACCCACTAGTTAACTCGTCCATCCTTTTTTCCATATGTTCAAACAACTCTTAGCTACTTCTTGAGGAATTTTATCTACAATCCTTCTGCAACTCCCTGTATCCGTAACAAATTTTTATTCCTTTCTTAAACATGATGTGGTTGAAAACGAGCAAATAGCCATCAGATTAGGGGTGTAACAGTACAATCTTATACCTGCCAATCAATAGTAATCTCATATGAAATTCCTCTGGCCAAATAGAATTCATGAATTGCAACTCCGTAAAGAACAAAACTAGGGAACCAGGTGATCAAATCGTAAAGGAGGAGAATACGGGTGAAGCCAGATTGTCATGGTGATCTCCCTGGAGGCTTTCTCTTACTGTCTCAATTTAATCTCATCTATTGTCAGGGTGAACCCTCAGAAAAATTATAATTTGTGACCTGCATACGATTGTTATATAGTCCTCCGTATACGTCAGGTTCTTCAGGTGCTCTGTAGTCACTATTTTAGGGCTTCAGCTTCCATACCAACTTTGTGCTGTCTCTTTTCTCTTCAGTTTCCTCTTTCACATCCCAATGGATTCTTGAACATGCAAGCAAGTTGATAAAAAAATACCACGAAGGTTAAAAGCTATTTATTGGTGAATCAGAAGCTTCAGGTAGTATAAAATCCCTGAAGTTTCTTGTTTCATTCCACTTGTTAGAGAAGATCAAATGGTCTAGGGATTGACTTGAGTCTTGGATGGCACATGGAGGTGTATAAGAATGATCAATTCAGCACATCAAAATGGGCTCCTTGGAGAAATGTGCCTGCTTTGCCTCTTTGACCCGCTGTGTTTCTGTTGCTCTAAACTCTACCACCTTCTTGTTCTTCTTGAGAACAAGAAGAACTAGAAGAACCGTCTAGCTCAGGGGGGAAAACAGGTGAGAGAGTTCTCTCGGGATAAACTGCCATAGTGGTATATTTGTCTCTTCCGTTTTATGCTTTTACTTGAGATACCTGTTCTCTATTCCCCTTCAGTACTTCCTCCATTGAATATCACTTTTATAGGATGATGATCGATGTCAGTGTGATTGCTGATTGATATCTGGGCCTGTGGTGGAGCATTTGCTGTCCCGGTTTACTCTGTTTCAGTCCCATTTTTCCATGCCTTTATTTCCACTGTAGGATATCATTGGTTACATCTTCGATGGTATCTTCACATGCCCATTCATTTATTTTTTTTACACTTATGTTTCTACTCTCTGGATTTAGTTACCTTCCTTTTTGTCATCAGTTCCTTAACAGTCTTTATGAAGATATCAGTATACTGTTTTCTTCATTTTGTTTGCGGTTGAAAGATAATTAGAGCAGAGAAGGTCTTTAATAAGAATTCGCCTCACCGGACATTGTTGGTTGGTCTCACCTGCCATTGTTTTTCTTCTCTGTCCTTTCCTCTGCACAAATGTGTGGGGCCTTCACTTATTATCATACTGGCTTGTTTTAAAGCTTTATTTTTTATTCAATATCATTCGTCTGATTCTTACCTCAACCTGAACTACTGTTTTCCAGCTGATTGAATGCCCCTCTATTTATGAATTGATGCCATCCCTTGATTTCTCCTGGAAAGACCCCCCAGTTTTGCAAGTTTGGAGGGAGAAGAATGATTCGTCTGGTAATCTGAGTGCGTCACTAGACTCACATGAACCAGTATCCGCAATATCTGTCATGAAAGAAGCTCTCTGTGATAACACGGTAAGCCTCCAGTTGGTTATTTTATATCATGTTGGTAAACTTTTCTCATTCTTATGTTCGTCAAAACTTATCATATTATTTATATTGTCTGATTATCCAACCTTTCTTCTAAATAAGAACTATCATTTCTAACCAGCTGTTAATTGGCGAAGTAGTGATGCTCCCTTTTTGAATGCACGGCATCCAAACCTAACGTGTTCCTTATGCTCTTTCTAGGTTGACTATAATGGCACCAAAATTCCTTTACCCTTCAATTCCGATATCTTGCAATGGGCTAATAAGACTAGAGAAGTCCTGTCTCAAGCTAGAGTCCCTGATGGCGTTCGGTTCTATAATATATATGGCATCAATTGTGAAACTCCTCATAGTGTCTGGTATGTTCTTCAAACTTGTTATATTATTTCTACCAGATAGCCATTGAGACTAATGAATCAGAAAGATGGTCCCTCGTATTGATCATACTGATGGTTTCATATGGAATATAAAATTTTTGCGGATGAAACATTCACTTACTTTGCCTGATGGTGATTTTCACATGGTTGATATAACCGCTGCTGAATACGAATGAAACATTCATGGTTGATATATTCCATAGAATTGTCGCATGAGATGAGAAGAGTGGCATATATTGTCGCATGATTGTCTTCCTCTGATCTTGTTTGTTCCCTTTTTTGCAGTTATGGAAGTCAAGAATCACCTATTTCGGACCTTCGTCAGATATTGACTGCAGAGGTTTACTTTCATCCGCTAAATCCTTTCTCTCTATTATCAAAAATATATAACGCAAGTTTCCCTGCTCAGTCTGTTGTAAGCGAGGTGATAGTTGACTGTGACTTGAAACTTTGTGAGCAATTAGGGTTCACGATGTTAACGCTGGATTAAAATGTAACGTTGGCTCTACTTTGGCATGTCCCAGTTATTGAGAATAATGCTAGCCATAATGATTCTACTAGCCATGATTCTCACTGATGTAAACGTAACCCTGTTTGATTTGGAAACATCTATAAATTTGTCATAGATTTTATGATTAAAAAACTCTCCTGTGTTTACTAACGCATATAATGCAAAAATTCTAGCTGATTGAATGAAAACTCCATGTAGAGAGTATGCACTAGTCAATAGATATAATTAGGTAGGAAAACATTGATTTATCAGAGAAAAAAAAATATCCCAACTTAGGTGGACCTTTCTGTTTGAAGATTTGAATTCGTTGTGCATGCACTGGAAGTTGACTTTCTCAGAGGATAATGAGGTCACATACAACCAGAATCATTGCCTTCGTTATTTTAAATCCAGTGTCCACCTAGCTAGAAAATTAATCTTGGAATTCAAACTCTTCTGTGTTACATGGTTTTTTAAAGATGTTGTAGCTTTTGTAATGATGCTTCCTGCTCACATGGTATCTATCAGGCTGATGAATGCTTATCTGACTGTGCATATTTATGCTGCTTTGTTCACTTTTCAGCCAAATTACATCTATCTTGACGGTGACGGGACGGTTCCCATGGAATCATCAAAGGTATTTTCTGCCATATGCTTACTTATTACTGCGTTCTTTTCTTAATGGATTCCTCTATAAGTGATGGATAGCACTTCCGCTGGAATTTCGCAAACTTGGGTGTTTGCTGACTCATCTTTGGAGTTTTTACATTCATCTGATAAAAGCCCATGATGTTTTATGGGAGTAATTGGGATCGTTATAGTTTTTCAATTTATGGTTTTCAATTTTGGGCATAATGAATCATAACCTGGTGATATGCTGTTTGTTCATCATCATTGTCATCAACCTTGTATCTTCCATTTTCCTCATGATCTTGGCGTCCTTGTGCTTCCAGTTCACTTGAATTCTCATCATTCGAAGACAGATAGATGGAATCTTCTTTTTTTTCTCTTCTTCTGATCTGTGAGCTAGCCCGTTGTTACATAAGTGAATCTTTATAATAAGGCAACAACCTCTGCTCACTAAATATTCAAGCTTTCTTTGACTTGGTCATTGAGCAATCACCTCCAACAGTGGGCCTGAAATAACTTTTGATATTCTTGGATATCCATCTCTACAGGCAGATGGGCTCGATGCACTGGCAAGAGTTGGCGTCCCTGCCGACCACCGGGGCATAGTCTGCGACAGGCACGTGTTCCGCATACTCAAGCACTGGCTCAAGGCCGGAGAACCAGATCCCTTCTACAACCCACTCAATGACTATGTCATCCTACCTGTAATCCCTGAGAATGACCCAGAGACTGTCACCGCCGCCGCCGCAGCTGCCATGAGGGAGGACTGGGAGATCGTCTCCTTCGACGAGAGTGATCGCTACTGCAGTGACTCTGCCCAACAGCCTGTTCTTGGTGGCAGCCTCTCCATCTCTGATGTGGAGGCCAGAGTTCTTGTTTACCCGGAAAGCAATGGGAAGTGTGTCGTGGAGATCAGGGCAGCAGGCATTACCTCCTGCGTCTGATGCATTCATTGATTGCTGCCATGTGTAGCTACGAGTCTAATTTAATGTGATAATGTATATTGTACCAGTAAGGTGTACATGTGTGTGGAAGGAACTGGTGGCGTTTGGCAGAGAAGAAGAAGAAGAAGAAGAAGAAGAAAAAGAAGAGGAAGAAGAAAAGAATGGTGTAGCTCAATGGGGTTGTGTACATTTGTAAATAAAGGCCTTGCATCTAAATAAAGAAGGGCTGTGTTCGTCTCTCTCTCTCTCTCTCTCTCTCTCTCTCTCTCTCTCTCTCTCTCTCTCTCTCTCTCTCTCTCTCTCTCTAAATTTATACAAATACATGGGCTGCTGCGGTACATATCAGAGCTATTGGAATATGTGTGGTTCAGCTTCAGGTCAATCTATACGACGTGGTTGGGTTTTATAACCTTCGCTCTGTTTTGAAGCCGCCGGGTTTAGCTTCTCCTTGAGGTTCCCAGATTCAGCTGATCTTCTTCCATCTCCACCCCCGCATCTGGGTCGTAAGATTTTCTCATTTCCAGTGTTCTGAGATCTTCCCTGATTCAGCTGATCTTCTTCCATCTCCACCCCCGCATTTGGGTCTTAAGCTTTTTCTCATTTCCAGTGCTCTGAGATCTTGTCCATCCTCAGCTGATCTTCTTCCATCCCCATCACCGCTTTTGGGTCTGAGGATTTTTCTCACTTCCTGTGTTCTGAGACCTCCATTCTCACTGGTGTTCCAGAACGAGGAATGAAGAACAGCCCAGAAGAGAAGAACTCAAGACGAAGGCTGCCTGCCTTGTCGGTCATTGCACCAGAACATATTGCTCTAATCGGAAATCTACTATATATTGATATAAACGCAAAATATTACAAGCAAGGGGATCCCTCAGGGCACTAAAGAGGAAGACAGTAGAGGACGAAGAATCCGGGGAGAGGAGTCGCAACCACCGCCGCAACGGCCGTCTGCCTCCGTCCTCAGAAGCACATATCCAGCAGGCAGCAGCAGCACAAGGCGGCACAGCTGCAGAAACAATGGCGGAAGACGGTGTTCAGGAGGAACCCAGAAGAAGCCACGAAAGGTGGAAGGAGAGGAAGGGAGAGGAAGAAGAAGCTCACCATCCTTTCCAGAAGCCATCGCCTCTATCTCTGGTCTCCACGGGGCCCTGAGGAGGGTACTGAGCTCCCTCCTTCATGGGGTATCCCGCCGGCGGTGGCGCTACGTAGGCGGGGTATCCCTCAGCCGGGGGCGGCGGTGGGTAGGCTGCGGAACATCAAAGAAGGAATTTTTTTCAGTCAAATCATCACCTCGGCAGGATCCAGCCGACCGTTATAATCTATAGAAAGAGGGCCGCCGCGGGTACCTGGTGGCGCCGCCTTCTGCTGGTCGTAGTAGCTCATGTTTTCCGGCGTCGGAAAGAAGAAGAGCAGATCAAGAGATTGTAAGAGAAAGAAGAGCGAGAGAGAGAGAGAGAGAGAGAGAGAGAGAGAGAGAGAGAGAGAGAGAGAGAGAGGGGGATGATTAGACAGAATGGAGAAGATTTGTTGAGGAAGAAGATGAGATTGTGATTTTTCCTACAGAGAGGGGGGGTCCCATATATACTGCTTCCGATTGCTTCAACGTGGGGCATCATCGGTGGAGTGGGTCGCCGTCACGCGGGATAGAACGTCGCCGTTTTCTGGCTGCCCCCGACGCACGGCCGGCGGCTTCCTGGATGCCTCCGGGGGTCGCCTAGAGCGACCCGTCCTCCTCCCCGCGGTCCAACCTTCTAGGCTTCCATGCCATCCGATCTTCGCTGTCCTCGTACTGTAAATCAAATCTACCAGTGGGTTTTTGCTAAAAGGGGTGATCAGCCGGTCAACCGGAATAAATTGCCAGCTTGGATAAGCATGACGCTGTTGTCCATCCCAAACTGCTCCACCTTCGTCGTCGCTGTCACCCAGCCCTTGTCTCACCTGCTGGGCTTTCAGCTAGTCTTTGTCAAGGGGCGGGGCCAAACCTGTTTATGAGAGTGCAAGTTAAAAACTTGCACCGTTTCCAAGGAGCTTCTTTTCTGTTTGGCATGCTCTGAAGTGCTCTACCTTCGCCGGCGTTGTCACTAACAAACTTTTCTTTTTCCCTGGGCATTCGGCTATTCATTTGTCGAGGGGCGGGCCGGGCTGTGATGGGACTCCATTTTTGAGAGAGAAAGTTAAAAACTTGCACCGTTTCGAGGGAGCTTTTGCCTGCCCGGCACGGATTCTTACTGCTCCATCTTCACCGTCGTGTGACGGCAGCACCACCTTCAGCTATTCTTTGTCCAGGATGGGCCTCCGTTGATGAGAGAGAAAGTCAAAAACTTGCACCGTGTCAAGTAGCTTCTTTTACCAATTTCGCATCCTCTTATTTCTCCTCCACCGCGGTCGTTGTCAATCCCAAACTTATCTTCTTCTTCGCTGGGCTTTCCGCCATTATTAGTCGAGTGGCGGGGCGGGCCCGGCCCGGCTGGGCCCCAGTTTATGAGAGAGAAAGTGCAAAACTTTCACCATTTCAAGGCGCCGTCACCCGTGTGGCACGCATTCATTTTTACGGTCCTCCCTCTCAGGAGAATATATTCCTCCGACTTGTGTTTTCTAAGTCGGTGGGAATAACTCCGCCGTGCTTGAGAAACCAAGACGATATTCTAGAGAGAGAAAGAGAGAGAGAGAGAGAGAGAGAGAGAGAGGAGCAGCAGCAATCATGGATGAGATTCGCAGGAGGAGCAAGCGCGTGATCTCCATTAAGTTCGTCCGGGTTTCCTTCCGCGTCTGGGTTTCCAGAAGGCCGACCGATAATGAGACGAATCAGGCTGACCATCGCTGACCAGATGTTCGTCGCCAAACGGGATAAAATAAAATAAATAATATATATATTTATAATCTCGGCGGCGAACCGCGTTATTTTCTCCATCCCAGAATAAAATAATGATATGATAAAATAGAAAGTATTCCTACAAAGAGGGGTGCAAGCAAATCGTCAGAAATAATTCTATACAGGAAATGGCTTAACGTCTGCATGTGTGGGGATATTCAGCAGGATAGAAAGATGGCGTATTCACAACTGACGGTCAATTCTTCCCAAACATAGAAAAACAATGTAGGAGAAACCCACAAGAAATCAAGAAATTGCTCATGAAGTAATGCTTCATTCGGAGTCAACTAACTGGATCCGTCCCTGATGTTAGGAATTCATAATGGTAGCTATAAAAAGAGGAGGAAATAATGATTAAAACATGACTCTAGGGCACATTGGCTCAAAAATCAATGGATTTTTATTTACTTATTCCTACAAACAAGGAAATTTGTGAAAAAGCAAGCTGAACTTTCTCAATGAACTTTCTTATTTGATTGTGAAAGTTATGACTGTAGCTTAGGGTACAAAAATAGTAAGAAAATATGCCAACAAAATGAAAGGGATGGTATATAAATGTTACAAATCTTGATTGACCTTAAGTAGGAACTTGATAAAGTAAGCAGCCAAATTCTGGGTGAAGAGAAAATTCTGGTGAAATGCTGAAGACCCCTTACGCTGGAATCTCAAGACATAGATGCCTTTCCATTCGTTGTCAAATATAAGAACTGAGTGCCTTAATCACACCCCAATCAAAGTAAGAATCATCAGGCAGATCCAAGAGACAATGTATGGTGCTTTTTTAGCAAAAGTTGATGGTACACTTAGGATAAGTGTTATAAATTACATGGGGAGAACACAACAAACTGCACAAATTCATCTCACTACTAAGGAGCTGAGTGAGGATCAGCCACACTGGTAGTCTTAGGATTCTCCATGTGATAAACATATGAGTGTCTTGTAACAACAAAATTTTATGTTACATAAGGGAAAAATAGATTTTTATTTTCCCTCTTTTGCATGCTTTGTGATAGAACGAAATTGAGGGTCATCAAAAGCCCTAAAATTAGTTGATCAAAAAATATTTATAATCACGAATTTACCAAATAAAAAAACTAAAATAGGTAAGTATGGTGGTAAACTCAAGGTCGATTCATTGGGAATGAGAATTAGGCATTGCTTAGTTAATATTTAAATCAAACAAGTTCAAAAGAGAAGTGATGGTGAATAAGAAGAATTTTCGCTGTCAGAAAAGGAGAAAACAATGGTTCAGTGATGTAGAAGACAATTAAGAATGGAAAAAATACTCACAAATGATTCACGAGACAAAGTTAACACTATATTTCTATCTATTCAAACCTATGAGAGCTAGATTTTTATTCACACTCGAAACACAACAAACTTAGAGAAACTTACCTCAAGCCTCTATATTTTGCCAAGGTCAAGTGGTTTCCTCTTTGAGTACACTTCTTCCACATCTCAACTATGAAAAAAAGCATGAATCAACTTGAACATATTGAGATTGATGCAGAACTCCAATGTGGTTTCATTAAGCCAACTAAATGTTGGGACATTCGAAGTTCATTCTTCCGCCCCTAAACAGCGGCTTAAATACATAAGGGTTTTCATGAGAGATGGGAATACACATGTAGGGCTATGATTAAATGAGGGCATTTTTGTCTTTTTGGTTGTGATAAAATCAAGTAAGAGATAATTTCTTTTTAAGTTGATTTGAAGCATTGGATTTAGAAGTCTTATCATAGCCATCAGATCTTCTTGAATGTTGCGATCTGCTGCACCCTCGATAAGTATGCTCCATTTGCCGTTGATTCTATTAACTTTTTTACAGCTTCCAATCTTCTCAATTGATGATGCCACGTGTCAGCACCTCAACCCTTGATTCCATCGCCTCATCTCCACATATTAGATCTCGTTCGTCGAAGCATATATTGGCTTCCTAAAAATCATAAAAAGATATCAAAAATCCTAAAATTCTCTCATATTAATAAAAATAATAATTATAACTATAAAACTCAAAGAAAAATTCTGAAAAATTCACTAAAATATTAAAATTCATGAAATACTCAAAGAAATAATAAATTTCATTTTTAATATGATAACATATAATATTATATGATTTATGCCTTTCGTATCATAATCATCATGCTATCACTTTGCAAGGTGCCTTTGGATGATTTCTCCTCTCCATTCAACAACCACAATAAGTAGCAAAGGCAAGTCCACAAGGACTTGGTGCAGAAGATGAGTTGAAGAAACTCAAGGCCAAAATTGAGACGTTAAAGTTTGCAATCCTTTGGTTTATCAACTCAGTCATTTGAGTTTTCTTCATCCATTAGATTAATTACCCCTTGTGATTCTCCATCTCCCTCATAAATTTTAGTTTTTGGTACAATTGACCATATTACCAATACATCACACAATTTTCTCAATTACAAACCATGTCATAGTAACAAGCAAGTGTTCACTACAAATGGTTCATTATTCACCATAGCCAAAATAGGTGACATAAAAACAAAACAAAAAAAAACCTTCAAAAATATGTTATAAGTTCCTAAACATTCAAAACTCTTTTATTTATTAAGAAACTAATAGGTGACCTAAGTTGTGGGGTTTTATTTACTGGTGATGGTTTTGTGTTATCTAACAAGGTGTTGGATTGGAAGATTAGATTTACTTGATAATGAGGAAGTCTGTATCATATGAGAGAACAGAGCCAACCTCAATTCACAAATGCGAGTTCAACGTCAAAACCTTGGCTGCTTCTTCAACCAAAACATGACAAATGTTTTATCATTAATGTCTAGAGCATCCCTCCTCCTAGACAATGAAAATTATATTTTTTTGTCTATCTCAAGGACAAAACATAAGCAATACATTTTTATGGTGTCTTTGAGCTTACAAAATATACAAGTTTTTCATTTCCAATTAATGGTGAAAAAAAATCAGAATCTATTTATCACATTCATAATGATATTTGGGGGAATTTTGCATCTAACCTTATCAAAATTTAGGGGTAAGATGGCATGCCACCTTTATTGATGACTACACATGGCTCACATGGGTGTTTTTACTCAAAATACAAGTTAGAAGTTAATAATATATTAAAAATATCTTGTATCTTATTTAAAATAAATTTGAACCACCATAAAAGAGTTAAATCTGAAATTTTAGGGATATATCAATTGAACCTTGATGTCATCTTTTCAAAGAGAAGAAATAATTCATGAATCTTTTCATGTTAATACATGACAACAATACTGGTAGAAAAAAATAAAAATATTCATGTCTTAGAAGTTACTATAACTCTTGTTTCAAAATTGTGTTTCAATCTCATTGATTGTCTACTTAATAAATGGCATGCCAACTTGAGTATTATAGTACAAGAGCCAAATATAAATATTATATCTCATGCTATCAAGACATTAAACTCAAGAATATCTTAATATCTAAGATATTTGGATTTGTATCCTTCATTTATATTCATGACCAAATTAAAATAAAACAAGATCTT